TCGACACGCGCATCACGCCTCTCCCCACCTTGTGATGGATTTGACAGACGCGTGGTAGCGGCTCTGCAATCCGGGGAGCACTTACGAAAAAGGCAAACAGGATGTATCGCACGTAGCGCGCTGAGCCTGCCACCATGATGACTGACTTCAACGCGAACGGATGGTAAGAAATGTAAAACGAAGAAGGTGGTCAATCTCGAATGGATTGTTGAAGGAGGGAAAGAACGAAAGGCGATGGGATGATACAGGTGGCCTCCCTAGAGATGTAGGGGATACGGCGGAGAAAAGTGGTCGACCCAGTTAGGCTTTACGGGAGACGAGTCGAGGGACCAGTGGACGAATACGAAAGTTCAGCCCGGCGATGGTACGTGCTAATTACGTAGGTACTTGAATTCAGGGGTAGGAAGGCCTTGTGCCGAGTACCTTTTTCTGTCTCTGACAACGCGCGCTCCTTACCTGGATGCAGGAATGCGGAAGAGCATGATAGGGGGATGCTCAGAAGAGTGGGGGGGCAATCTAGGGGGCACGAACATGGCCAGTGGATATTCCTTGCATCCCGACGGTACTGGCACGCTGGTGCTTTTGGGAGGAGCTGACGTGGAACGCTGGACAACCATCGCTTATCTTATCAACTGCCGTTAAAGACGCTTCCGACAAACGACGACACCTCAAACTCAGAGGGAGGCTGACAGTGGCATTGGCGATTTAGTATAGTGTGAATTATAGCACCTGAGCGTCTCAGACGTCAGGTATTCATGGATTCTCAAATGAGCTATGCGAAACTGTAAAAAAAGTTATCTGAAGCGGTCGCGAGTATGTGCTGGCTCGGAATAACTCAACACCTGACTGACAAGCACCTGTTGTACCTATTCCACGCCAGGGAGAGTACAAAACCGCCCCTCAGTACGCATCACGTGACTATGAGACCCGTGGGTGTCCAGCATGGTGTTTGCCGCTCTGTGATTGGTCCGGATGATCCCTGGAGAAGATCGGAGGCTCAGGACCACACGTCTTCGTTGGCGTCGAAGTGGTGCATCACCGTGTTTTTGGCATCGACTGCACGCATCGACGTCGTTGAATCTACTTCTTGTCTCGAGCCGACCCTGGTGCTTCGGCGCATTTTCTTCGGGAGATCTCTCGCCGTTCATTTTGCTTTGCGAATGCGACCAGATTAGCTTGCAATAGCTCTGATCCCTGCCGAGATCCCTCGCGCCTTCGATCTAGTCGACCTTGCGACATCATCATGATAGGGTTGAGAACCGTGCTGCCGAATACCACCGACCCCTCATTCTCTTAGTGGTGAGTACAAGCACTTCCATCATCATCTGTATCTTGCCTTCCCTCTCGGCATATTTCCTATCTCTATGGGCTCTTGCCCCCCGCTTGCTGTTATTTCGACAACTAGGTTGCGAGCTGGTCTCGTAACACGCCTTCGGGGTTCCAACAGCTGTGGTTGGCGGGCTTCCTACCTTTCAATCCTGCGAGGCAAAAGAGCCCGTTTTTCTTTCCTTGAATTCAGCACGGGGGAAACTGCAGCGACGTTCAAGGCTTGATTACTGTACTCCTGCTTGTCTATCGTTTTGCAAGCTTTCAGACAGAGCCCACACTGACGTGTTCGGTCATAGTGCTACTTGACCCCTCTTCTTGAAAGACATCACACTGAAAGCCATCATGTCTTTCTTCGGTTTCGATGCGACGCGCCACAACAATGCGGCCCCGGGCTTTTCTCAAGCCCACGACCCCTTCGCCGGCTTTGTCTCATCGCACCGGCGACAATGACGATGCTATGGACTTCGAAGATACCTACGACGGACTAGGTGACCAACTTTGACGAAAGTGGGCGATGCCTTTCAACGACGATTCCCTTTGGGCGGAGGGCTTTGAGGGACAGCGGTCCCAACAACAGGGGGGGTGCGCCCTCCGTTTGGCAAGGATTTCGACTTTTTTTTGGTCAAATTGCCAAGTGCCGGATGCCATTGAGTAGGAACAATTCCTTTTTCAGTCGTCAAGGCCTGGAACCTCGAGAACCTCAGGCGCCGGAAAATAAATTCGTCTGCCATTGCTTCCTGGTATCTACTACTCTAGCCAGCCCAGTCAATCTTACGGCACCCCCTGCCCGAACTGGCTACGAGAAATATCGCGAAGCTGAGCCAATTCCCGATCTTCATGTCGATGCCTCGCTTTGGGGAATGCCCGCCAAGAAGTTCGCGCCCACGCCCTCGCCACAGCCGGCGTACCAGCCCTCTTCCGTCCCAGCATCTGGACGGAAGGTCATGAGCCTGGAGGAGGTTGAGAAGGCGATGCGCGAGCAAACAACAGTGCCTGGACAGCACGCTGGTGTCGAAAATGTTCACCACCCGCAACACTATGCTGCCGATCACAGCGACTTCTACGGACACCCTGAACATGCTCAACACCAGTATTCGTACTCTGCAGCCGAACAGCAGCGTGCTACCCATTCTCCTGCCCACCCCGGCCATAGCCACCCTGTTACCATCCTCCAGCGCCCTCAGTCAAAGCAGCCTACCCCTAGCGCCCCGAGCCCGCAAGCTCGGCAGCAACAGCAGCAGCCCCCGCCTGTCCACCCGACCCAGATTCTCCAGAACCCGAATCGACTTTCTGGTGACGCCGCCCGCATCGGTGTCCCTACTCACCCTACGCATCGGTCTCAGGGCTCCATGGGCCGCAGCAACAGGCTCAGACCAAGCGCAAGCCCAGGCCCAGCAGCAGCACTTGGCTCACTTGTCTGAAGAGGAGAAGGCAGCATTCCTCGACCAAGAGACGAAGCGAGCCAAACGTAACCACAAGATCTGGCTCCTGTCTAAGGATAATGGTCTCATGACGCCGCAGGACAAGAATTTCATCACTCGTATTCAGCTACAGCAGCTTGTATCCGCCACTGGAAACCCCACGGATGTTGCGAACGAGGGTGCCCTAGCTGAGGACTTTTATTACCAGGTTCTCAGCCAGATCCGCGGTGGGCAACGTCAGAACCCCAACCAGCCCTTGAACAACTTTGCGCAAACCTATCTCTTCCAGACTGGCAGCCGCCAAGGTGCGATGCGTCGACAGGGTCGTGCCGCTGAGAACCATGTGCAGCGAATGGAGCAACAGGTGCAGCGGGCTGTTGAAGCGGCAAAGAACAAGCCCAAGAACCCTCAGTTGGTCATCGCTGGCAGCCTTGGCAAAATCTCCTTTAGCAACTCTAAGACGCCGAAGCCTCTCCTAAACATCAAGCGAACGGAGAGCTCGGGTGAGACTCAGAAGCCGAGCAACGCAAAGCGCGCCCTCGGCGGCGGCGCCCTCGACCGTAAGGTCATTCTCAGGAACGTTGAGCGTGTCTACAGCACGATTATGCAAATGGAGGACCATGCTCGCCAGGGCTCCTCCACCTCCCAACGATGGAAACGACGAGGATTTCCATGTTAAACATCAGGAATGGTTAGAGCAGGCTCAAGCTCTCAACGCCAAGCTCTGGAGCGAACTCAAGGTGCATGAGCCTATTCGTGAGGGGACTGTCCACCCATTTATCGCGTTCCTGTCTTTCCCCAAGGGCAAGAAGGTTTTCTCCCGCGTCTTCCGTCACATTAGCTTCGAGCAGCGGACGACCATCCTTACCATGATCATCTTCCACCTGGACTCTCTGGACGTCGTCCACGGTGCGCAGCTCACCCACGGCGAGAAGAACCTCAGTGCCCAGAAGCGCGAGGATATCGAGCTCTTCTCTCTCGCCGTCATGCCCAGCCTGTTTGCATACTTCAACGACACTCAGATCGACATTGTCACAGATGTCCTCAGCATCATCACCTCCAAGCTGAATGTCGACAGCATCGCGAAGACTCGCGTTGGAACCTCAATGCTCACCCTTGTGCTGAGCCGCGCCGAACTGTTGAAGCAGGCTGGTGGAGGTAATCCTCAGGCATGGAACGAATGGTATGTAGAATTTGCGCAGACCTTGTCGCAATATGCTAACAAACTTTTGCAGGGATCAAGTATTCGGCAGCTTCTTCAACGTCATTGAGCCGACTCTTCCTCACATGTTCCCCGGTAATGTCAATGCTGGCGAGGATGTCATAGTGTGGCAGCTTCTTGCGGCCATGGGCGTCAGCGCCAACCCCGAGCAGCAGCAGCGTCTGGTGCTTGCCGTGAAGGATCGAGTCCTCAGTACCGTTGAGCACGCAAAGACGCTTCCCGGTGCCATGGCCTCTCAACGTCTTGGGACCGTCAATCTGTTCATGCATTCGATTGGATTGGATGTTGATCTCTTGCAGTAAGGTTAAGCTTAGACGTTAAGGCTTCGGCAGCTCGTAGCGGGAGTCTGCCACGAGCCGGGCCGCAGCGCCCAACGGCATTGCCTTGCCAGACTTGCTTCGTCCAGACCATGCAATCGGGTGCATCAGGTCTTTGGACGGCAGGTGCCGTTGACTTCGAATCAACAGTAGCAGGCTAGCATGAAGGCGGCATGCGGTGACAGGGAGTCGTGTGTAGAATGGGAAAGGGGGTAGCTTTTGCGGCAGCACATCCCAAAGACCTTGTACATTACACGATCACCAGTCGCACCTTGCGTGTATGAGAGTAGCACAATGCTACCTCGCCGCTTATAGTTTTTTTTAGTCGATAGTTCAGCAAATTTCGCAAATGCGCCTTGTTTCATTTCAGTGCCGGTCCCCGCCCCCCGTAATTTGTCCCAACGCCGTCTGAAAATAACTTCCTGCTTTCAGGGGTATCATGGTGGCACAGCGAGCCCGAATCCGTCTACCGTCACAGGTCAAGATCTAGCAGCCACCCGACCATCAAGCACCACGAGTCGTAGCGCCTCGTCCCCGTCCACGGCCACGTGCTACAGCACCACCCCTGGCACGGGGTCTGCCTTTGGCTGCCGCTTCAGCAGCCGCCTGTGCAGCCGCAGCCTCCTCGGCCGCCCGCTTTTGCTCTTCCTTGGAGATGGGCTTGGGCTTGACAATGCCACTGACAGCCTCCAGCAGGTCATCGTCGTTCCAGTCGGTGCCGAGCTTGGAGGCGTTTTCCGCAATGCTTAAAGCCTCGACCACCTTGCTCGTCTTTTCGTCTCCTTCTTTGTCCTCCTCCTCCTGAA